CACCGACCTCACGGGGTGTCTGTTGTGGGGAGGGGGAGGGAGAGGAGTTTGTAAGCCGCTCTGAGACTCCGAGTGAAGGGCAGGGTATACATGCAATCTCTTCTTCTTCTTCTTCTTCTCCTCCTCCTCCTCCTCCTCCTTCTCCTCCTCCTCCTCCTCCTTCTCCTCCTTCTCCTCCTTCTCCTTCTTCTTCTTCTTGTTATTCCAGGGGAGGGTGGCCTGCTGTTCTGCTGTATTTGCAGACACGTAGTGGAAATAAAAATAAATATATTCAACAAATTTTCACACTTGGATGGGGAGAGAGGTGGGCTGGGGGAAGTTCCCTGAGGTCTCCCCCCTTATTGGGAAACAGATGAGTCCCATCGCATCCCGGGTTCCCTTGTGACAGCGCCCCAGCCTTGTAAGGGAGGATTTCCAGTCCAGCTTTTTGCTCTGCTGGAACCTTCTGACCAGAGAAGCTGCAGCTGGCCAGATTCTCCCTCGACACCATGACGGCTGCAAGGCCAGTAGCACTTCCCCTTTCTCCTCCCGCTGGGCTTTCTTAGATCCAGAAACGGCATTCCAGTGGCAGCATGGATGACCGGCCGTCCCTCTCGGCCAGAGACTACGTGGAGTCCCTGCACCAGAACTCCAGGGCCACCCTTCTGTACGGCAAAAACAACGTCCTGGTGCAGCCGGTAAGTAACCAGTCAGTAGGGACGGCAGAGGGCCTCCAGCATGGGAAGAGACTAGTGGATTCTAAGCTGAGAGAGCCAGTTTGGTGTAGTGGTTAGGAGCACGGACTCTACTTTGGGAGAGCCGGGTTTGATTCCCCACACCTCCATTTGCACCTGCTGGATGACCTTGGGCAGAGCTGTTCTCTCAAGGATAGTTCTGGAAAGAGCTCTCTCAGTCCCACCTCCCTCACAGGGTGTCTGTTGTGGGGAGGGGAAGGACTTTGTAAGCCGCGCTGAGACTCCGAGTGAAGGGTGGGGTATAAATCCAATCTCCTCCTCCTCCTCCTCCTCCTCCTCCTCCTCCTCCTTGAAAGGTGGGGAATAAATCCAATCTCCATCTCCATCTCCTCCTCCTCCTCCTCCTTCTTCTTCTCATGAGTCCCCTCTCCATCCCCCACCAAGCCATAGTTAATGCTTCTGGCACTTTGTGCAAATTCTGGAAATTTGCTGGCTTTTTGTTGAAATTATTCTTTAGGTAACTGTGAGGATACTCGAGGAGGTCTGGAGAGCACGAAGGGCTCTTCTCTTTTCCTCCCATTTCTTAAAAGTCATTCTTGAGAACCCTGAAATTTCAGATATTCAAACCACACAGACTAGAACCTTGCTTTGGACATAAGAAGAACACTGCTGGATCAGAACAGTGGTCCACCTAGTCTGGCATCCTGTTTCAGACCCTGGCTAATCAGATGGCCTTTTTTGGGCCAACGAATAGTGGCATAGAGGCCAAGGCCTTCCCCTGATGTTGCCTCCTAGCATTGGCTTTCAGACGTTTACTGCCTCTGAATATGGAGTTACCCTTCAGTGACCATGGCTGATCACCACTGATAGAACCTCTGTGATTGTGGCCATCAGTACATCCACTGGCTGTCAATTAAGAACACAAGAACATCAGAGAAGCCCATGCTGGATCAGGCGAATGGCCCATCCAGTCCAACACTCTGTCACACAGTGGCCAAAAATACCCAGTGCCATCAGGAGGTCCACTGGTGGGGCCAGGACACTGGAAGCCCTCCCACTCTTGCTCCCCCCCCGGCACCAAGAATACAGAGCATCCCTTGCCCCAGACTGAGAGTTCCTATCTATAGACCTTGTGGCTAAGAGCCACTGATGGACCTCTGCTCCAGATGCTTATCTAATTCCCTTCTTGGAGCCGTCCATGCCTGTAGCTGCCACCACCTCCTGTGGCAGTGAATTCCATCACTCTTTGGGTGAAGAAGTAATTCCACAGGTTAATTACTCATTGACGAAAGAAGTACTTCCTTTTCTGACCTGTACGTATTTTCTGGCCTGTACTACCTACCCCTGAGATACCTAGCTAAACTATTGACGGCACTTTAAGAAAATGTTGTTATATGGCTTTGTTGTTGTTGTTCAGTCACACAGTCGAGTCCGACTCTTTGCAACCCCATGGAACACATCATGCCATGCCCTCCTGTCTTCTGTTGTGCTCCAGAGTTTTCTTAATTTCATGTTCAGTGCCTCGATAACACTGTCCAACCATGTCATCCTTTGCCGTCCCCTTCTTCTTTGACCTTCAATCTTTCCCAGCATCAGGGTCTTCTCCAGTGAGTGCTCCCTTCTCATTGGGTGGCCAAAGTATTTGAGCTTCAGTTTCATTATCTGGCCTTCCAGGGAACAGTCAGGGTTGATTTCTTTTAGGATTGACTGATTTGATCTTCTTGCAGTTCAAGGGACTCTCAAGAGTCTTCTCCAGCACCATAGTTCAAAAGAATCTATTCTTTGGTGCTCGGCCTTCCTTATAGTCCAACTCTCGCAGCCATACAGTACTACTGGGAATACCATTGCTTTGACCATGTGGACTTTTGTTGGCAGGGTGATGTCTCTACTTTTTACTATGCTGTCTAGTTTTGCCATCACTTTCCTCCCAAGGAGCAGGCGTCTTTTAATTTCAGGGCTGCACTCACCATCTGCAGTGATCTTGGATCCCAGGAACATGAAGTCTGTCACTACTTCCACGACTTCTCCTTCTATTTGCCAAGGAGTGATGGGGCCCGGTTTTTTGATGTTGAGTTTCAAGCCAACCTTTGCGCTCTCCTTTTTGACCTTCAGCAAGAGGCTCTTGAGGTCCTCTTCACTTTCTGCTATTAGAGTGGTATTGTCTGCATATCTGAGGTTGATCTTTTTTCCAGCAATCCTAATTCTGGCTTTTGAATCATCCAGGCTGGCATTTCTCATGATGTACTCTGCATATAAATTAAATAAGCAGGGTGACAATATGTACTCATTGTACTCCTTTTCCTATGCTAAACAAATCAGTTGTTCCATATCCAGTTCTAACTGTCGCTTCTTGACCCTTATACAGATTTCTCAAGAGACATGTGAGGTGGTCTGGTATATGGCTTTAATCTGTTTTAATTGTTTTAACTGTATTGTGTCCTGCATCATAAAGCAACATAATAATAATAATAATAATAATAATAATAATAATAATAATAATAATAATAATAATAATAATAATAAATATTTCCATTTATTAATCATTCAGTCCTGCAGAGCTTGCTGGCTCTGAGCGATTTACAGTTACTCATATACACATGGGACTAACAATGATTCAAAGGGGTAAGGGAAGACAACATATAAATCTTTAAATCACACATGTTTGCAGTCGACGGGGAGTTTGTTCAGCTGTAGGGTCAGACATGTTCCAACGGCATTTTCCCTCGGCGTGGCTTGATGTCATCAGCTTTTCTCCAGGACTGCTTCAAGTTGCAGCGCAGCACTGCCACCGCCTGGCCGGATAGCCCATTACAAGCCCTCTTGATGCCGAAGAGTTCTTTCTAGACTTTCGATCTTACGCGCTGGACATTCCGTTCGCCGGCTAACACCTCCACATCTACGTACAGTACCCAATACAGTTGAAACAAAACAGATGAAAGCCATATAACAACATTTTCATAAAGTGCCGTGCATAGTTTAGCTAGGTGTCTCAGGGGTAGGTAGTCTCGTATGACTATTCAGGTCCAGGCCACCGGAGCGGGGTGGGGGTTGGGGAGGAATGTCCGCCGCCTCCGTCAAAAACCTGGCGGAAGAGCTCCGTCTTGCAGGCCCTGCGGAATAACCTATTGCCTATCCATGTCATTAGGTGGCTCCAAGTTCTAGTGGTGGAGCTGCCTTCTAGCTGCCGCCTCATGTATTTTCTCTCTTCCCAGCGAGATGACATGGAGTCCATTCCAGGATACCTCTCCCTTCACCAGACAGCCGACATCATGACACTGAAGTGGACTCCGAACCAGCTGATGAATGGCTCTATGGGAGACCTGGACTACGAGAAAAGGTGACTCACACATGTACCCCCCCCCATTTATGAATGACGAGTGGGTCTGGGGGCTGCCATAAGGCCCTCCCGAGTCTAACCAAATAGCGCTAGCAATTCTGGTGGGAGGAGGTGGTCTTGTGTTGTTTGCGCATCGTTTTAGATACCGGAGTGTGTCCCTCGGTCTCCTCACAAGGGAGCCCATGTTCTTCCCAGTCATGTGGGGTACCCCAGATTTCCTCCTGTCCAGAGTGGCCTGAGGCACCTTGGAGAGGGCAAGCCCGGCTCCCATGCACCCGTCAACAAGCTGTCCTGCGTAGGAGTTTGCATCCTTCTGTCTCGGGAGAAGTGTGGACTTTTCCTTGTCTCTTTGCTTCCCCTGACCCGAGAGATGCAGAGGACCCATCGACAGAAGGAACACCCAGCCGGCACTCACTTTCTCAGTAGTGGGGACTCTTTTCCCCCCGTGACACTGCTGGCAGTACCTGGGATTCGGGGAGGGGCCGTGGCTCAGCAGTAGAGCCTCTGCTTGGCATGCAGAAGGTCCCAGGTTCAATCCCCAACAGCATCTCCAGTGAAGGACCAGGCAGGAGGGGATGTGAAAGATTTTTCTCTGCCTGAGACCCTGGAGAGCCACTGCCAGTCTGAGTAGACAAGACTGAACTTGATGGACTGAAGGTCTGATTTAGTTGAAGGCAGTTTCATGTGTGCTGGGGAGGGTTGTGGCTCAGCGGAAGAGCCTCTGCTTGGCATGCTGAAGGTCCCAGGTTCGATCCCCGGCGTGCCCAGTTAAAAGAGCCAGGGAATAGGTTGATGTGAAGGACCTCTGGAGAGCTCCAGCCGGTACTGAAACTAATGGACCAAGGTTCTGGTTCGGTATAAAGGAGCTTTACGTGTTGTGTATTTCCAGTTCACACATTCCGGTGGGCCAGGATTGCTTGCCTGTATGACAGAAAAGCAGTCTATGAAAGTCTGAAATAAACATTGAAGAGAACCGTGTAAACCAGTCTTTGGTGAGCGCTGGCAGGAGTTTCAACTACGTGGAGGCTTTCTGAAAGGGACGTCTCTGCCCCCGTGATCCTGGTCGTCTAGAAAGCTTATTTGCCGATTAATTGGTGAATACTGGCTGGGCAGCAGATGGCATCAAAGGAGCCCATTCCCCCTATACTGGTCGGGAGAAGAGGCTCGTGGGTAGGGCAGCATTCCAACCCTACCCTTTCTACTGTTCTTTTGGCCTGGATGGGTGCGGTTGGCTGTCCCTGCTCACATGCTGGAGCCGGATTCCCCAAAAGGTCATGGCAGGACACGATTGTGGTCTCTGACGCACCCCTTTGACCTCTGAGTCCGTGCAGGTGGTAGGAAACAAAGAGAAAATGCTCTTCTGCACAAAGGGCTCCAAGCTCAGCAGCTGTCCAAAGCGTCGTGTAATAGCTGGGCCTCACTCTGCCCCGTCTGTCCCCAAGTGATGCAATAGAAAGACCTTGACTTAACAGTGGATTTTTTGGGGGGGGGATCCATTAGCCCTGGTTAAATACCCCGCAGGAGGGGGGGTATGTTACAGAATGGGGCTGGTATAAAACAAACCAAATAAGTCAGTTCAGCTAGAGAGGGTGTGAGGTAAAGGTTTCCCTTGCTCATCTCCATTGCCGAGCTGAAGAGCCAGCGCTGTCCGAAGACATTTCTGTGATCATATGACCGGCGTGACTAAATGCCGAGGCACACGGAACGCTGTTCCCTTCCCACCGAAGTGGTACCTATTTATCTCCTTGCAATGTCTTGCTTTCGAACTGCTGGGTTGGCAGGAGCTGGCGCCAGAGACGGGAGCTCACTCCATCACGTGGCACTCGGGTCTTGAACTGCCGTACGACAGACCTTCCAGTCTGCAGCTCAGTGTCTTAACCTCTGAGCCACCACGGCCCATGGAGAGGGTGTAAGACGCATCAAAACTCCTGTAGGAGGAAATGGGACAGTGGAATAAAATAACATCAGTCGGGTAGGAGATGTGAAATGTTGGCAGCTCCACTGAGTTAGGAGTTCAAGATCCAGATTAAGCCCTGGGGTCTTGAATTTTCCGTGAAGTCTCCTTGTTGTGGCCCACTGAGGTTCCGGTCTGATGCACCCTGCTTCTGAGCAGGACTTGGCTGTTTGAAATCAGTGTTCCCTCTAAGCTGAGCTAGTGTGAGCTAGCTCACAGTTTCTTAGCCTCCGGCTCACACATTTTTTTCTCTGCTCAGGAAGGACGGCGCCAGAGCAAACTAACTGATGCAGTAGGCAAATCGCTCGCTCACGACTTTAATGTCAGTAGCTCACAAAGTAGGATTTTCTGCTCTCAAGACTCCACAGCTTAGAGGGAGCATTGTTTGAAATGTCACACGGTTATTTATCACTTAATTATCTAATTCATTCATGCCCCACCCATCTCCCCAGTGGGTCCCAAAGCAGCCTGCATCGCTCTCCCCTCCTCTGTTTTATCCTCACAACAACCCTGTGAGGTAGGTCAGGCTGAGAGGGGGTGACTGGCCCAAGGCCACCCAGCGAGCTTCCCTGGCACGAGTGGGGATTCGAACCTGGGCCCCCGAGACCCTAGTCCGACACTCTTAACCACTGCACCGCACTGGCTCTAACTAAGTGGATGTCGTGGTGAAGGGTCGGGGCACCCATCACCTTAACCTGTCGTTCTCCATGGGGGTAACCGGGCTGCTTAAACACAGGGAAGGCGGATCTCATCGGTGGCCACTAGACACAGTGGCTGAAAACGTGGCCTCCATTTTCACGTCCCGAGAACCTGCGGAACTCATTGGACACGGGATCTGTGACGGCGACGAGCCTATATGGCTTCCTAGAAAGGACGAGTTGAGTGCTTTGGGGGGGGAGACCTCTCTTTTTGCCCCCTTCAGGTGGACCCCCAGGAGGGGGATGGGCTGGCCCTGGCGGGTCTGTGGGGGGTGGCACTGAGCCACGTCTCTCTCCCCTCTTGCAGCGTGTACTGGGACTACGCCATGACCATCCGCCTGGAGGAGATTGTCTACCTGCACTGCCACCAACAGGGTAAGGGGGCGGCCGGGCCCAGCAGCGCATCTCTCCATCCTCCCACTAGCTGCATTCCCCACCCCCCCCAGGGATGAGCCACCTTCAGAGCCCTCCCCGGAGCCAGTGTCCCCTCTAAGCTGAGTTAGTGTGAGCCAGCTCACAGTTTTTCAGCCTCCGGCTCACATATTTTTGTCTCAGCTCAGGAAGGATGGGGCTCCAGAGCGAACTGATTGATGCAGCAGCCAAATGGCTTGCTCACCACTTTAATGCCAGGAGCTCACAAAGTACAACTTGTTGCTCACAAGACTCCACAGCTTAGAGGGAGCAATGCTCCCCGCCCAACCTTTCCCCGCCGCTTCCAGGTGGAGAAAGAGGCCTCTGGGGGAGCTCTGCTGCAGCTGACTGCACGTCCTGGCAGGTGTGCCGTTGTGCCGCCAGCCAGACCAGAGAAGCTGCCGGAGTCACCACTTGGGTGTCCCCGTGTCCAGAGGCCCCCATAGAGCTGAGGGAGGGCATTGTGTGTGAGGGTGAAACTCCCCGGCTGGAGCCAGGCCTGACTCGAGGAGGGGGAGATCTCCTGCTCAGGCCGTCAGCCGCCAGAGCTGGGCGGGCAGCAGGTGGAAGGTCTCCTTCGGTCATCCAGGCCGGGGCTCCTGGCGTGGCCAGTCCCGAGTGCCGGCCAATGGCAGGGGGTGAGACGGTCCACGCTGCCGGGAGGGAGAGGGCTGGGCAGACCCTGAACTGGGTTTGGTCTCCACTGCCCGTCACGAAGCTCCCACTTTGAGCGCCACAATTGTTGCCTGCGATGCAGGATGTGTACTGGTCGGTCCCCCAGCCAGGGCACCTGGGGGGCTTCCTGCCTCCTTCTTCTCCCCTCTGCTACCCCTTTCGTGGCACTCTCCTTTCTCTTGCCAGCAGTAGACAGCGGGGGGACAGTCGTCCTGGTGAGTCAAGACGGGATCCAGCGGCCTCCGCTGCACTTCCCCAGAGGCGGTCACCTCCTGCAGTTCCTCTCTTGCCTGGAAAACGGGCTCCTGCCCCACGGCCAGCTGGACCCGCCTCTCTGGTCGCAGAGGGGGAAGGTGAGGCGCTCTGAGCGAGGGCTTGGTCCCTGGGGTGGTTGTATCCCTGTGCCCGTGGCCGTCCTGTCCTCCCTGAGGGCCACCTGGTGCGAAGGAGTCGGTGCTGATGAGCAGAGGCTCTCCAGGGGCTCAGGTGGAGAAGGTCTTTCCTAGACCTCCTACCCAAGGACCTTTGAGGGCGGGGAAAGGCCAGGGCGCTCTGCTTGTTTTGTGACGTTTGCTTAGGCTCAAGGTGGGTTGCCGTCTTAGTCTGCAGCGGTAGAAAAGAGCCAGAGAGTCCAGGAGCACCTGAAAGACTCACAAAATCTGTGGCAGGGGAGGAGCTCTCGTGAGTCACGGCTCACTTCTTCAGCCCCTTTGGTATAAGATTAAGTTTTCTGCACTCGGTGAGAAAGGTGATGTCTGTCTGTACCTGTGCAGGCTTCTTCACAGGGTTGATCCATTTCCATTCTGTACGGCTCAATGTGGTGCCTTCCATGGAGGTAGATCAAGATGGGTGGCCCTGTTAGTCTGTCTGTAGCAGGAGAAAAGAGCAGCCAGATTACCCATAGGAAAATAAAACATAAGAACTTTTAAAGGTAAACCAGACCTCCCCAGAGAAGAGGTCATCACAGGTGGGAGTGAATTCAACCCACCTGTGACGACCTCTTATTTGGGGAGGTCTAGTTTTACTTTAAAATGTTCTTTATGTTTGCTCTCAGGGTAATCTGGCTGCCACCAGGGAAATTTAGGCTTTCCCACACCTATTTCTATAATATTTTCTTCTTCTGGTTTTGGTATTGTGACCCAGGGTCTGGGCTTTCGAAGGACTATGTGTTTCCTGAGAAGAATTTCGTTCAGAACTGTTATCTTAAATAAAAGTAGATTTATTGGATGTTTCACACACTTTTCCCTCTTACTGACAGGGATGTGGGCATGTCGCTTTGTAACAATATTTTCCTTAGACCATATATGGTTACTGTTTCTTTATGCTTTAACTTTTCATAACACACACAAGACTTCTCTCTCTCAGACCTTAAAACGAACAAACTGCTTAACTCTTTTACTAGACAGAACTTATAACAACTGCTTTCACACAGCACTCTCTCTGCTGTCTGACCCTGTTTAACTGTCTTTTTCAACTCTCATAACTCTAACAGACACCCTTCAACTGACACTCTTGACTGACATATCTTATCCTCCCTCCCCCTCTCTGTCAATCACCAATCACACCACATGCCTGTCCAGCATTCTACATTATCCTCACACATCCATGCAAACCACTATTAAAGACACAAACACACAAAACATGAAATCGTTACAAGTCCAGGAGCACCTGAAAGACTAACATTTGTGGCAGGGGTGGAGCTTTCGTGAGTCTCTGCTCACTTCCTCGGATATAGCTAGAGTGGGAGTCCGTCTGTCCTTATATCACAAGGTTGATGGATTTCCATTCTGTGCGGCTAAACTCAGTGCTTTCCATGGAGATAGATCAAGACAGACAGTGGTGTTAGCCTGTCTGTAGCAGGAGAAAAGAGCAGGAGTCCAGGAGCACCCGAAAGACTAACAACATTTGTGGCAGGGGAGGAGCTTTCGTGAGTCACGGCTCACTCCTTCAGATACCGTCAGAATGCTTAAGTGGTGTGTTTCTCCAGTGGTGGCCTGGAGTGGCCTCCGACATCATTCTCTCTGCATCTCTTTTATCCTCACACAGCAGCCCTGCGAGGTGGGACAAGCTGAGAGTGTCTGACTGGTGCCAGGTTTCTCAGCAAGTAATTGAGGCAGAATTTAAACCTGCTTTCCCCAGATTTCTTGTGCGGCACTGTCCCCGCTAACCCCCTCTGGCTCTCCCTTATCGTAAGCCGGGGCTCTGGGGACGTTTTTAAATTGCAGAGTAGCTAACAGTAGATGGTTTCTGGATATTAGAACCAGGGCTTTTTTTCTGGGGGAACGCACCGGAACAGAGTTCCGTAACCTCTTTGACAAAATTCTTTTTAAAATGTTTAAAAGTTCGTGAGTTTTCAGTATATGGACTAAAAACTTCACTTCCCTCTTGAGGCTTCCGGCACCTCTTTTTCAAAGAAAGAAAAGAAAAGAAAGCCCTCTTTAGAACTAGTTGTATTTGTGTTAGTAAGTATTGATCTTAACGCTTCGTGAATCAGGAATGCTTTTGAATGCCCTTCCGCAAGGTAAAATATCTGAAAAAGAATTAAAATGTGTCTGTAGCAAAGACATCCAGAGAGGGACCCCTTGAGCAGAAGAGTCTTGTGGGAGACGAACAAGATTTTGTTCTTCGTCTCGCGGAAGTGTCTGCGAGAATAAAACACATTAGTATTTGAGGTGTCGCGTCCCATGACTGTGGCTTATAGGTCACAAAGCATCATTTGGCCCAAGTTTAACATGTTAAGACGCTGAGCTGCAGACCGGAAGGTCGGTAGCTTTGCAGTTCGAGACCCGAGTGCCGCGTGACGGAGTGAGCTCCCGTCTCTGGCCCCAGCTCCTGCCGACCTAGCAGTTCGAAAGCAAGAAACTGCAAGTAGGTAAATAGGTACCGCTTTGGTGGGAAGGTAACAGTGTTCCGTGCGCTTCGGAATTTAGTCATGCCGGCCACATGACCACGGAAACGTCTTCAGACAACGCTGGCTCTTCGGCTTGGAAACGGAGACGAGCACCACCTCCCTAGAGTCGGATTCGACTGGCTTTTGAGCAAGGGAAACCTTGACCTTTACTATTAAGGAGGAAGCGGTGCCTGGTGTCATTCGGAACAGGTTGAAATAGATAAAAGAGTCCAAGGAGAGAGTGGATGCTGGAGCCCCCATCCTAACAAGCAGGGCCATTCCAGATCTCTTCCCTGCATGGGAGGGAGCTTCTTCCTGGTGCCGGGTCCATGGAAGACTGACCTCGGCCTTCACCTCCCTCCCTGCTGGCTGGCCGCCCTCCAGAATCTGCCCCCCCCCGGCTGTCTGGCTAGGACCTCTCACATCCTGGTGTTTTGGGTTCCTACAGGGGAAAGTCTTTCCAAAGCTGAAAAAGCGCAGCCCCCAAGGATCTGCAGAGTCCACGTCAGACAAGGAGGACGACGAAGCCACAGACTACGTTTTCCGAATCCTCTACCCGGGAATGCAGTCAGAGTTTGGTGAGTTGGCTTGCTCCAGAAAAACTGGGAGAGCCGGCCCACTTGGTTCTCCTGGGGCTGATTTTCAGGTACAGCAATAGCCGTGACACCTCCGACTCCCCCCCTCCCCCCGGGATTGTAGATGGATGTTCTGGTCTGTGGGCAATACAGGTCAGAAACCTAAAATTACATATCAAGAAAAGTGGGAATCCTTTGCCTAATACAAGCAGCAGAGAAGCATGAAATTCACATAGCGTGTTTTGCGAATGTAACTAGCTTGCGAGTTTTATTTTACCTTTTCTAACCAGGGAAGGTTTGCAGGGCATGGAAGCTCACCCTCCTTATTCAGCAAGCAGCCCTAGATCTGGTCAGGAAAAAGCCAAGGCACTCTCAAGAATATCCCGGTAGCCATGAGGATGAGAAACTTGTTGTATATATGACAGTTGAGCTACTCTGCATGCAAAGGCCTTGCTGGTGCTGTCCTCTGTGGGAGTTTTGTGATGTTTCAGTTGACAGCGGCCTCTGCCACGTGGGATTCAGTTTGGGTTGGGGCTCCTCTAGTTACTTGGTATTTGGCGCTGCTCTCTCCGTGTGCTGGTTGTGTTGACCCCTGTTTATGTCAGCAGTGGTGAGACCTGCGGAGAGACAGTGCACAGGTGGGAGAAATGGGGGCAAGGAAGCCCCGGTCCCCCAGAGTGCTGTTAGAAAAAAACTGGTCTTTCACACACAAGTGGAGATGCAAACCAGTGCATGCTGTGAATGTGCCATGGGGCAAGGGAAATGGGGGGGGTGCCATTGTCAGTGGAGCTTCCAGGTGGGCTCATCTTTTCGCACCGTGCCATCCGGGGGCCTGGTGCTTTACTGCATCACATAAGCAAACCCCAACAAACTGCCCATCTTGCTTTTGATGGTGGAAGGAAAGGGAGTGGTTTGGGGGAACCGTGGATGGCAACGAATAATTTCTTGTCTGAGTCTCTGGGCTCTTTTCGTAAGAACATCAGAAGAGCCCTGCTGGATCAGACTGGTGGTCCCTCTAGTCCAGCCTCCTGTCTCACACAGGGGCCAACTGGTGCCTCTGGAGGGCCAGCAACAGGGCATTAGAGGCCGAGGCTTTCCCCTGATAAGAACCTAAGAAGAGCCCTGCTGCATCAGACCAGTGAGGGTCCATCTAGTCTAGCATCCTGCCTCACACAGAGGCCAACCAGCTCCTCTGGAGGGCCAACAACAGGGCAGAGAGGCTGAGGCCTTCCCCTGAGAAGAACCTCAGAAGAGCCCTGCTGAGTCAGACCAGTGAGGGTCCATCTAGTCCAGTCTCCCGTCTCACACAGGGGCCAGCCAGTCCCTCCGGAGGGCCCACAACAGGGCAGAGAGGCTGAGGCCTTCCCCTGAGAAGAACCTCAGAAGAGCCCTGCTGGATCAGACCACGGAGGGTCCCTCTAGTCCAGTATCCTGCCTCACGCAGCGGCCAACCAGTTCCTCTGGAGGGCCAGCAACAGGGCACAGAGGCTGAGGCCTTCCCCTAATAAGAACCTCAGAAGAGCCCTGCTGGATCAGACCACGGAGGGTCCCTCTAGTCCAGTATCCTGCCTCACGCAGCGGCCAACCAGTTCCTCTGGAGGGCCAACAACAGGGCAGAGAGGCTGAGGCCTTCCCCTGATGTTGCCTCCTGGCTCTGGGATTCAGAGGCCAACTGCCTCTGAATGTGGAGGTTCCCCTTAGTCACCATGGATAGTAGCCACTGCTAGACCTCTCCTCCGTGAATCTATCTAATCCCCTTTTAAAGCTCTCTATTCCTGTGGCCACCCCTACATCCTCTGGGAGCGAATTCCACATTTTAATTGCTCACTGCGTAAAGAAGAAGAAGAAGAGATTGGATTTATACCCCTGCCCTTCACTTGGAGTCTCAGAGCGGCTTACAAACTCCTCTCCCTTCCCCTCCCCACAGCAAGTGGTGGAGTGGGGAATCAAACCTGGTTCTCCCAGATTAGAGTCCGCACACTTAACCTCTTTTGACGTTCCCTCCCTCGCTGAAAGAGCCCTGTCCGAGTGAGCTTCAGAGGGGCTCTCCGGAGGCGCGGGCGCAGCTTCAACATTTCTTCTCTCTTTCCCACACATGTAGTGGTGGTGAAGGGCCCCTTCTTCGTTCCGCTGCCTTCCGCCACCTTCGCCGCTCCCAGGGACAAGAAGGTCTGGATGACTCTGACTGCCGGCAAAGTCCTGGTGATGCCCAAACGGTCTCTGAGCTTCCCTGGAAGGGCCCCTTCTCTCCTCACCACATCTGGGCCCGCCCACCACCCCTGTAATGCTGCTGCCGCCGCCACCTGAGCATTGGAGCCATTTTCTGGCTGGGGTGGCTTGGCTCACGTTGGCATTTGTGGATCTGGTCAGGGACCCAGGGATTCCCCCCATGGAGGCTTGACCTGTGGCGATTTCCCGGGGTTTCTTGGAAGCAGGAACAGGGAGAAGGAGACTCTGGAGGGGCTGCAGCAGGGAGGGGCATGTTACAGCCCATGTTGACCCTCCCTGTCTGACCCACAGGAACCCATCTTCCAGCCCTCAGTTTGCGTTCCAACTTTTTGGGAGCATCCGCCTCCTAAACATCTGCATTACTATAAGAACATAAGAGACGCCCATGTTGGATCAGGCCAATGGCCCATCCAGGCCAACACTGTGTCTCACACAGTGGCCAAAAATACCAGGTGCCCTCAGGAGGTCCAGCAGGGGGGCCAGGACATTAGAAGCCCTCCCACTGTTGCCCCCCCAAGCACCAAGAAGACAAAGCATCACCTGCCCCAGAGTCCCTATCCATACCTTGTGGCTAATAGCCACTGATGGACCTCTGCTCCAGATGCTTATCTAATTCCATCATCATAATATCTAAGGTCCATCAGTGGCTATTAGCCACAAGGTATGGATAGGGACTCTGGGGCAAGGGATGCTCTGTCTTCTTGGTGCTTGGGGGGGGGAACAGTGGGGGGGCTTCTGGTGTCCTGGCCCCACTGCTGGACCTCCTGAGGGCCCCTGGTATTTTTGGCCACTGTGTGAGACACAGAGTGTTGGACTGGATGGGCCTTTGGCCTGATCCAACATGGGCCTCTCTTATGTTCTTATGTTCTTAATTCCCTCTTGAAGCCGTCCATGCTTGTAGCCGCCGCCACCTCCTGTGGCAGTGAATTCCACATGTTCATCACTCTTTGGGTGAGGCCCAAACAGTTAGTCTGTTAACCGCATAGGCCTAAGCAGAGTTAGACTCTTCTCCGTCCATTGAACTAAACGGGCTTAGAAAGGGTTCAGTCTGCCCTGTGAGTCTCTTATCTGGTTGGCTGCTGTTGGGTTCACGCAAATGCCACCGTCTGCCAAGCCACCTTCTCTGCGACGCAGAGCTGCTTTCCTGCTCTCCTCCCTTCTGCAAACTGCTTCGTGGACGTGGGCTCTTTCCTTCACCGGAGAGGTGCTCCCTTTTGTGGGGCGTGTCGAGAGAAGAACCCAGCAGGTCTTCTGGGGTCTCTTGACTCGATTGCATCGCTTGGGACAGTCGGGAGTGATTTATAACTTTTTAAAAAAAATCTTCTGATGGGCGAAATCATTCCAGGGTGACTTTGCCACTGCTTCTGCCATTACCCTTCGAACCACGAGCCTGAGAGTCTTTGCAGAACTCCCCAAAGCAGATAAGAACTTGCCATTCAGAGGGGTCTCAGAGCAAACCTCTCTGCGGGGGAGTCAGCCCGGATTTATTTGGCAGCATCCAAGACTGGCTGAAAACCCCCTTTTGGAAGGCCCAGCCAGGGTTGCTGAGAGCTACCACGGATCTCCCCCCCCCCCAGCTCGTTGAAAGGAGGCAGGTGCACACATGCATGGGCATGGATGGACAGATGGAGAGATCAGAAGGAGAGAACTCGCCAGTCCTTAATGGGACAGAGGACAGAAAGCCTCTCTAAAAAGTAAAGGTAAAGGTTCCCTTGCTCGAAAGCCAGTCGAGTCCGACTCTAGGGTTGCGGTGCTCATCTCCGTTTCAAAGCCGAAGAGCCAGCGCTGTCCGAAAACGTTTCCATGGTCATGTGGCCGGCGTGACTGAACACCAAGGCACACGGAACGCTGTGACCTTCCCACCGAAGTGGTCCCTATTTATCTACTTGCAATGTCTTGCTTTCGAACTGCTAGGTTGGCAGGAGCTGGAACTAGAGACGGGAACTCACTCCGTCATGCGGCACCCGGGTCTCGAACTGCTGAACTACCGACCTTCCACAGCCTGCAGTTTAGCGTCTTAACCACTTGAGCCACCGCAGCTCCGAAGCCTCTCCACCAATCCATAATCATTCACTTTTTCAGTTAAGTGAACTGAAAAGCGTGGCACATTGCTGTAAGAAAGGAGCTGCCATGATTTCACAAAGTTAAAAGGTGTGATTATAGGTTCCTAGAGGGGCTTCTAGCAGCACTCAAAGTAGCAAAATTATAGGCGTCCTCTGCCACATCGGAGTAAAATGAGACAGGTGGACTACCAAGGTTCTTGGGGGGCCCAGACACACACACCCCTCCCTGTTGGCTGCCTTGTTCCCAACAAGCCCTTAAAGAGCTTGCCTTGAGAGGTCAGTGGAATGCCTGGGACTAGTGATGTGCTGCTCACCTAACCTTGGGCAAAGCCCCTAAAGTCAGTTCAGCTCCTTGCTTGCTTAGACGAGGAAGGAGATGGAAACGGTTGTTACAGTGAACAGAAGGACCTCACTCACTCTAGATGTTGGCAGTGATGGACGTTTGCCAGGAGAAGACCCCTCCCCAGCAGGGCTGTTTTGCGGTTGGACGGGGGCACCAGAGAACGTGAGAGGGGAAAGGTGAGGCTTCTCCATTAGCACACCTTCTCTTGTGCAGGTTAGGTGGACCTTTACCCTACATCCCCCAAATCACGGATCTGTCTGCAACCCCCACTAACATCAGGGCCTGCCCTTCCTCCCTGGATAAGTAGCCCGGAGAAGCTATGCAGGGTCAGCCCTGATGAGTACTTGGTTGGGAGACCGCCAAGGAAGTCCGGGGTCGCTATGCAGAGGCAGGGAACGGCCAGTTGTCTCCTGCCTTCGAAAGCCTCTAGGTTGCTGCTGTACATCGGCTGCAGCTTACCTGGCCCTTTCCACCACCGGAGACCGAGAGTGGCTTGGGAAGGACCCTGACAAATCCCGCAAAGCGGGGAGGGTACAAAGGGCCCCCCTGCCCCCTGTTCCTAGGTTTGCCTTGGAGACAGAGGTTACCTTTTGATAAGGTTCCGATTTATGATGCCCTCGAGAACGTCCACCTTCCCTCCGCCTCTGGGTGCTTCTCTGGTTGCCCTTCGCCTGTGCCGCTCTTTCGTCGGAGACTGAATCGTGATTGGATGCCGATCGTGTGATTGGCTTGGTACGATACTCCCGGCGCCTCGACCTTTCCGATCGGGCTTCCCGCGCTCTCCTTCTGTGCTCTTAGAGTAAGCCGCTTCTTTCTCTCGGTGCCAAGTTCAATGCCGCGCCCTCTTCTTCTGCCTCTTTCAGCCCCCCAGGACCTGATGGACGGTCCCACGAGTGGCTTGCCCTCCATATGGCAGCCGAGCACCCGCAAGTCCTCCTGCTCGTCTTGCTCCCAGGGCGGCTCAACAGAGAGCGGCCCCTCCAATGGCTGCAACCACGAAAGGTGAGGGAATGAGACCCCCCCCCGGTGGTGGGACGGCGGTCTGATGGGCACGGGGGTGGGGTGGGGGGTGCACGGCTGCTCGAAGGCATGGGGGGGAGGCCAGTTTGGTGTGAGAGCCAGTTTGGTGTAGTGGTTAAGTGTGCGGACTCTAATCTGGGAGAACCGGGTTTGATTCCCCACTCCACTTGCACCTGGCTGGATGACCTTGGGCAAGCCGTAGTTCTGGCAGAGCTGTCCTTGAAAAAGAGCAGTTTGTGTCAGAGTTCTCTCAGCCCCACCCACCTCCCAGGGTGTCTGTTGTGGGGAGGGGAAGGGGAAGGAGTTTGTAAGCCGCTCTGAGACTCCAAGTGAAGGGCAGGGTGTAAATCCAATCTCTTCTTCTTTTTCTTCTTCTGAAGGGATTGCAAAGTCTGAGGTGGGGGGGCTGGCTCAGGGTTCCCGCCTAGCCCATAGCTAATGTGGGGCCCACGGGGCCTGGCCCCCTAGTGTTTCTTCTGGGCCCCCTCCTTCCCGGGCTGCCCCCAAAGTGCCCCAACTTGTCGCATGCATTGCGCTTTGATTTAATTAGCTCTCGAGGCCCCCTCCCCCCCAAATTCCCTAGCTATGGGGCTGGTTCCCGCCAGCAATGGGGCCTCTTGTCAGACTCCTGCAGCAATCGGCTCCCAGCAGCTTTCATTCAAAGAAGTAAAGTTTATCGAGACATTGAGAGTATGTAGATATCTTAACTATCTCGTGTTAGAACTGAAGAGACGCATGGGCGGCAAGCAGATATACCTCATTCAAGGAGGCCCCCTGATGGCCCAGGGCCAATCAGGGACCAGGTAGGAGCCCGCCAAAGTAACGGGCTACTTTTCCCAGGAGAAAGACTACTTTCCCCAGGCACTGACGGTCGCACAGAGATAACAGAAACATAGAAGACGCAGCAGAAATGAAACTCAACATTCCAGAGTCACCCATGGCAGCTAGGCAGAGGCCTAGCGGAGGCCTCTGACTGGCGTCTCCTTGGAAGGGGCCAGAAGGTTCCGCTAGCCCCCTGCCTCCAGAGTGGTGCTCTGGGTTACCCTAGACCTCCTGCTTGTGCCAAGCCCCAGGGGAGTGGTAGCCTCCAGGCTCAGACGCCGGGCAAGCGACCAGACTCAGTCATGCGGAGTACTCAGAACTGCGCAGGTCTGAGCACCTTGCAGAATTGCGCCTCCTCGAGTGAGCAGAAGCAGAGGGGAGTGCCGGAGCAGGAGTTTGGGGAACCCCTTTATTGATGTGTGGATCACCTGTGGCAGATCAGATCCCCCTGGAGAGAGCCTGCCCGCCGCTGTGCAGTGCGGAGACTCCAAGAAGTGTTGCAGGGGTTCACCAAGGCCCGTTAGCTCACATGGAGCAAGACTGAAGGCCTACAGGTCTGGCCTTCATGCTGCATGGACGCTGTGTGTTTGCGCGCGCCCCGGACCATCTCCCAGAATCCTCTGCAACACACTCCTGCACAGGCGGCTTGGTATGGGAAGGGAGCCCGAAGGTGGGAGATTTGGAATACGGTGCTCTGGGGCAACTGGACCCAGCCCTGGGAGCCCCATTCTGTCTTTCATACCTGGACAGCACTTGGGCTGTTCAGGTTGGTCTGGTTTTGTGCCCACTGGAAAACAGGTTTGGAGGAGGAGGAGGAGATTGGATTTATACCCTGCCCTTCACTACCCAGAGGAGTCTCAGAGCGGCTTTCAAACTCCTCTCCCTCCCCACAACAGACACCTTGTGAGGTAGGTGGGGCTGAGAGAGCTCTGACAGAAACTGCTCTTTTTCAAGGACAGCTCTTATCAGAACTACGGCTTGCCCAAGGTCATCCAGCAGGCGCGAGTGGAGGAGTGGGGAATCAAACCCGGTTCTCCCAGATTAGAGGCCGCGCACTTAACCACGACACCAAACTGGCAGTGTTCCCTCTAAGCTGAGTTAGTGTGAGCTAGCTCACAGTTTTTTAGCCTTCAGCTCACACATTTTTGTCTTCGCTCAGGAAGGATGGCTCCAGAGCAGACTAATTTATGCAGGAGCCAAATGGCTCGCTCACAACTTTAATGCCGGTAGCTCACAAAGTAGAATTTTTGCTCACAAGACTCCAAAGCTTAGAGGGAGCGTTGGTTCAGTGGGCTTGTGTATTATGTCAAAAACCTAGCAAACCTGTTTGACCAGAGGGGATCAGTGAAGCAGCAAAGGTTTGTGTTCATACCATGGGAGGCGATGCCTCTGTCAAAGCACTTTTTGGCACCCGTCTGGACTGGCGGTTTCTGCCTCTTCTGTCTCTCCAGGGCTCCGCTCAAGCTGCTGTGTGACAACATGAAGTACCAGATCCTCTCCAGGGCCTTCTACGGCTGTGAGTATCACCAGCACCTCTTTGCCAGGAGCTCAACGGGCCAGACGAGAAGAGATGCAGGAGACGCAGCGGGGAACAGTCTCCATTTGTTAAAAAAAATGAAAAGCTTCTGAGGGGGAGGCTTCCAGTCTGAGATAAGAAGGGGGGTAGGGAGGGGCTGCGAAACCTGGGGTTTTTTTGCTGGCGTTCTTCCTCGTACCCCTTTCCCCCCATAGCTGTGTTTCCACTTGCAGAGGAAGGGGTGGCCGAGCAATTTAGGGGGGGGTGCAGTTTTGCGCAGAAAACTGGGTGTCTGTGTGTGGGGGGAAGGGTTTAGCCATCCCGTTTCCCCTCACACAGACATTTTTCCTTTTACAAACAACTGGGAGGCTGTGAGTGCACTTCCCACACGTCCCTGTCTTGCTTGTCCCTCTAGTGAGGAAAACCAGCGCCCGCTCTCTGCCCACACAAAGCCGGTGCGGCAGGCAGGCGAGCAAGGCCCTGCTGGCTTCATTCTGCCCCAGGGGTCTACCTGGCATGAAATCTCCTGTGGAGAAGAAGAAGAAGAGAAGAGATTGGATTTATAACCCGCCCTTCACTTGGAGTCTCAGAGCTGCTTACAGACTCCTCTCCCTTCCCCTCCCCACAACAGACACCCTGGGAGGTAGACAGGGCTGAGAGAGCTCTGACAGAAACTGCTCTTTTTCAAGGACAGCTCTTATCAGAACTATGGCTTGCCCAAGGTCATCCAGCAGGTGCGAGTGGAGGAGTGGGGAATTAAACCCGGTTCTCCCAGATTAGAGTCCGCGCACTTAACCACGACACCAAACTGGCTCTCAGGCTGGTGTTGATAAAATCATTCTGGGTGGCACAAGCTGGCTGGTATCACAGAAAACTCCTTGAACACTCTGAGCAGAGGTTGTCGTGGTTAAGTGTGCGGACTCTAATCTGAGAGAACCAGGCTTGATTCCCCACTCCTCCTCCACTTGCACCTGCTGGATGACCTTGGGCAAGCCACACTTCCGGCAGAGCTGTCCTTGAAAAAGAGCATTTTCTGTCAAGAGCTCTCTCAGCCCCACCCACCTCACAGGGTGTCTGTTGTGGGGAGGGGGAGGGAATGGAGATTGTCAGCCGCTCTGAGACACCTTTGGGTAGTGAAGGGCGGGGTATAAATCCAATCTCTTCTCTTCTCTTCTTAGAGTGTCGGGCCAGGGTCCGGGAGACCTGGGCTTGAGTCCCCATTCATGCCATGGAAGCTGGCTGGGTGACCTTCGGCCAGTCCGATTCTCTCAGCCTCACCTACCTCGCAGGGCTGTTGTGAGGATAAGATGGAGGAGAGGAGAAGGATGGAAGCCTCTTTGGGTCCCCGTTGGGGAGAAAGGCCAGGGCATAGATGAATTAAATAAACAAATATTTTACTTATGTTATTTATGGGACTCAAGGTGGATTACACATAGAGTGCAGTGGACAGAATGGGACACTGAATCACCGATGCCGCTAGGGTTTTAGAAGTCTGGAACCCCCAGAAAGAGCTGCAGCCTAAGTATTCAGGGGACACATTAAGCAGCACAGAAATTACATAAATAGGATCCTACTTTTACAGTAAACTATAAGTAGCAGTACAGACCAGTCTCAGTCATTTATCCAAGTAAGTTTGTCAAGCCATTTTGTCCGGTGCAGCCCTATTAGTAAAGGTAAAGTTTTCCCTTGCTCGAAAGCCAGTTGAATCCGACTCTAGGGGGCGGTGCTCATCTCCATTTCCAAGCCGAAGAGCCAGCGCTGTCCAAAGACATTTCCGTGGTCATGTGGCCGGCCTGACTAAATGCCAAGGGGCACGGAACACTGTGGTGGTTTAGAGGTTAAGACGCTGAGCTGCAGACCAGAAGGTCTGTAGTTCGACAGTTTGAGACCCAAGTGCCGCATGATGGAGTGACTTCCCGTTTCTGGCCCTAGCTCCTGCCAACCTAGCAGTTCGAAAGCAAGAAATTGCAAGTAGGTAAATAGGTACCGTTTTGGTGGGAAGGTAAAAGCAACCCTATTGCCTCAGCAGAAAAGCCCTCTTGAAAAGTTCAGTTCTGCACAGTTTGCACTGGAAGCCAGGCGAGTGGGAGGCCATCCCGTCTCCTCTGACTTTCAGTGGCTCTCCGGGGTCTCTGGCCAAGAAAAGTCTTTCCCTGCGTGGGTCAGCACAGGGAGTGAATGTGGTTCCTTCCCACACCTCCGCTGTGTGGCCCTCCCTTGGAAGGAACTGCCTGTCTTCTGCGGCCACCAGCTGCAAACGGGTCTGAGCAGCCTCTCTCTCTCTCTCTCTTCCTGCTTCTCGCTTTCCCTGGCAAAGGGCTGGCCTACTGCCGTCACCTCTCCACGGTGCGCACTCACCTCTCGGCACTGGTGAACCACGACATCGTCTCTCCCAGCATGCCGTGCGACGCCAGCCTGGGTCTGACAGCGGAGATCTGGGAGAAGTTCATGCAGGACAGCTCGGTATGGCCACCCCTTCTCCCTCGGGTCCTCCCTGGACGCCACCCTCCCCACATTCCCCTTCCCGATTCCACCACAAAGCGATGGACGCTCTGAAAGAGTGGCGGGAGCGGGTACGCTTCCCACACTGGAGGGAAGTCCAGAGACCTCTTAGGGTTCGGGTCGCAAGAAACGCTTGTCTTTGCAATATCTCCTTAGAGCTTCCAGGAGAAGGAGCTGCTGCGCCTGGTCTACTTTGGAGGCGTCCAGCCCGAGATCCGGAAAGCCGTCTGGCCGTTCCTCTTGGGGCATTACCGATTTGGGATGTCAGAAGCCGAGAGGAGGGAGGTGAGAGACAGGGGCGACTTTCCCCTTCTGTTCCTTCCCGGCTCTGTGGGCTTGGGGCGCTTCTCTGGGGGCCGCGGGGCTTCCAGCTTGACCCGCGCTGTCTCTTGGCTCACAGATGGACCACCAGACCCACGCCTGCTATGCCCAGACCATGGCGGAGTGGCTGGGCTGCGAGGCCATCGTCAGGCAGAGGGAGAAGGAGTCCCACGCGGCCGCCCTGGCCAAGTGCTCCTCCGGGGCCAGCCTCGATTTCCACCTCGAGCGCATGATGCACCACGATTCTACCATCAGCAACGACGTGAGTGTGCCTGCCGGGTCTCTTGCCCTCTTCTGGGGCGGCCGCGGGTCATTTCCTGCAGGAGCGCACAGGAGCGGAGCTCCGGCAGTAAAGAGTCCAGGGGGTGGGCACATGCAACAAGCCCCTCCCCCTGCTCCCAGCAGCCCTCAGTCAGAGCAAGAAGCAGCCCGGTAAGTTGCAGAGCTCCCCCCCACCCCCCCGGTTCAAAACTGTCCAGTGGCACCTTTAAGACCAAGTTTTATTCAGGTAAAAGCTCTGCCTCCTCTGCGAGGACAGATCTGCACGTTCCTCCCCCCCCCCCAATAGCTAGCAATCCAAAGCAGGTCAGTGGAGCCTGAGCAGTGGGTGTTGCCTTCTGACACACTTCCAGCGAGGTCAGGGGGTGTGGCATATGCAAATGAATTATGCTAATGAGCTCCTGCACCTCTTTTTCTACGAAATGACCCCTGCCTACAGTCGTCTGGAAAATTTAAAAAATTGTTGTAATAATCTTTCTGAGTTGCTTTACCAACCATATGCAAAGAAACCGTGCTTTACGTTATGTGACCTCATTTGGAAGCTGGTAGTAGTAGTAGTAGCAGTAGTAGTAGAAGTAGTAGTAGTAGTAAGATTTCTGAATCGTCCCATCCCCGAGTACACAGGGCTCTGGGTGATTTACAAATGATTAAAACATGCAAAATACAGATTAAAATCAACAAACAATTGATCTTAATTACACCATCTCCAGATGGCGTCTTTAATTTAACTTCAAAACCTGCTCTGGGCTGTTCTTCCGTCTCACGGGCAGGTTAAGGAGCAGGCCGAAACGGGTGCCTGCTATGGTGGAAACCGTTGCTGTCTTCAACTAAAAGCCCGGCGGAACTTCCCCGCCTTACAGAGCTGTAAAGGGTTCATGTGTCCGCCTCGTACATTTAGCCCTAAAGGAACCGTGGAATGAGAGGAAGCGTTCCTGACTCACCCCTTTTGGCACAGAGGAGACAGCCAAGGGCAGGCGTGGGGATCTCCTGGGTGGCTTTTTAATCGGGGCCCAGCAGAACCTCCAGCAGCTGTGCTTTCTCCTCCGCCTTCCTTTCGTCCTTGTGAGTTGCCTTGGCCACATTGACGTGTTTCCTCTTCCTCCTCACAGTCTTCCCCGAGTGGAAGTTCTGGCCGACAGAATTTGGCCCGCCTGCAGAGTGACTCTAGCGGCAGCACGCAGGTAAGCCACAAAAGGCTGGACCGCGTGGGGGGGGGGGCGATGGTTCACATTCCACAAGCACCGACAGCTTCAAGAGGGAATTGGATAAGCCTATGGAGCAGAGGCCATTCGCCACAAGCTATAGACAGGAACTCTCATCAGTCCGGGGCAAGGGATGCTCTGTCTTCTTGGTGCTTGGGGGGGAGGGGCAACAGTGGGAGGGCTTCTAGTGTCCTGGCCCCACTGCTGGACCTCCTGGTGGCACCTGGTATTTTTGGCCCCTGTGTGACACAGAGTGTTGGACTGGATGGGCCACTGGCCTGATCAAGCATTGGCTTCCCTTGTGTTCTTATAGGAACTCTCGGTCTGGGCAAGGGATGCTCTGTATTCTTGGTGCTTGGGGGGGGAGGGGCAACTTTGGGAGGGCTTCTGGTGTCCTGGCCCCACTGCTGGACCTCCTGATGGCACCTGGAATTTCTGGCCACTGTGTGACACAGAGTGTTGGACTGGATGGGCCACTGGCCTGGTCCAACACTGGCTTCTCTTATGTTTGGGTGGAGCCCTCTGCTTTTTACAAGATTTTATTTATTTACTTTATTTATAGCCCATCTTTCTCATTGAGACTCAAGGCAGGTTACAACGCCCTCCCTGTTTTTGTGTGTGTGTGTGTGTGTGTGTGTGTGTGTGTGTATAAAATGCAGTCAAACAGCATAAGCTATCCAATGAAGTGTGCAGTAGGACTAGAATTGCAAGACTGGAAGGCAGTGTGAACAAAAAGCAGTCCAAAGAAATCACACCAGAAGCAACAGAAGCAAATGGATTACAAAAAGTAGAAAATGCATTAAGAACAAGATGATACATACAATGGACATTCCAGTAGCCTTCAGTCCTGTTCCTTTTAGGGTCAGGGTCAGCTGTCCGTCTTGCCCATTTGCAGGGTAGAGCCAAGTGGGACTCAAACTCCCAGAATGCCTCTGGTGTGCACTTTCCAAACTCACATCTTGGAGTCAAATGTTCACTATGTAAGGTATCCCGAACTACGGTCCCCTCTTGCACCTCAGAGAGGGCAAGAGTTGTTCCTCACTAAGGGCTGATTCACACCTGACAAAGTCCGCCTGTCCCACTTGTGGCCTTTGCAGAGACTGGCTTGGAGAGTTCCCAGGCACACGTGGGCTTGGCTGTGAGGAGGAGAGGATTTAGCCTCATCCCCACCAGCCCTGAAATGGCCCTTGGGAGCCACCTGTAAGTTCCCCATGCGGGTCAACCCACGGCTCCAGGAGCCACTTGGGGTCTGGAAAACAGGGGGGGGAAGGCTAAGTTTGGTGTCGTGGTGAAGTGCGCGGACTCTAATCTGGGAGAACCAGGTTTGGTTCCCCCACTCCTCCACTTGCACCTGGCTGGATGACCTTGGGCAAGCCATAGTTCTGACAAGAGCTGTCCTTGAAAGAGAGCAGTTTCTGTCAAGAGCTCTCTCAGCCCCACCTACCTCACAGGGTGTGTCTGTTGTGGGGAGGGGGAAGGGAAAGGAGTTTGTAAGCCGCTCTGAGACTCCCTTGGGTAGTGAAGGGCACGGTATAAATCAAATCTCCTCCTCCTCCTTCTTTTCTTCTTCAGTTTGGTGTCGTGGTGAAGTGCGCGGACTCTCATCTGGGAGAACCGGGTTTGATTCCCCACTCCTCCACTTGCACCTGCTGGATGATCTTGGGCAAGCCATAGTTCTCTCAGCTGTCCTTGAAAAAGAGCAGTTTCTGTCAGAGCTCTCTCAGCCCCACCTACCTCACAGGGTCTCTGTTGTGGGGAGGGGGAGGGAAAGGAAAGGAGTTTGTGAGCCGCTCTGAGACTCCTTTGGGTAGTGAAGGGCCATGGGGTATGAATCCAACCTCTTCTTCTTCTTCTTTCTCACACACCATGGGTCTAGTCACTGAGTTCCCAGTGCAGAATTCGAGGTGTATGGAAAGCCCTTATTGACAGCCCCAGGTTCTCCGTGTGGACGTTGCAGTGTGTGAATTGGCCTTTCGTGGCCTCGGTAACAGCCTCAGTAGCACACACTCGGGCCCTTCTTGCGGGGTGACCTCTTGATGTTGCAGCGGTGCCCGGGCTTTGTCCTGGAATGCCCATGGCCTCTTCTGTGCCACCGTGGCCATCCTCCGGCTCTTAATCTATTGGGGGGGGGGCAGGGACTTTTCTGTCGGATCGGCCCCGGGAGCCCCGCGCCCCTCCTCTTCAGCCGCCACCGCTGCTTCTTTGCCCAGGTGTTCGAGTCCGTGGACGAGGCGGAGCAGCCGGAAGCCGAGGCCCAGCCGGAAGAGGGCAAGCGGGCCAAGCTCTCCAACGGGGCCCTCCCCAACGGGACCAGCTCCCCGGACTCCGGCCACCCTTCCTCGCAGAACTTTTCCCTCGCCTCGGCCTATTCGGAGCGCAGCTTCAGCACCGAGGACAGCGTGGCGGAGGGCGGCAAGCCTCTGGGGTCCCACCTAGCCACTGGAGGGGCCCTCCGGGGAGCCGCCCCTAGGGGGGAGGAGGATGGCCTCTCGGAAGAAGGCCTGCCGGTCCGGGACAGCCTGGATGGGGACTCCAGGAGACCTCTAGGGGAGCTCGGCCCCCTGGGCAAGGAGGAGGAGGCGGCTCTGTCTGTGGCGGGCAGGGCGGAGGGCTGGGCTGACCGCGGCATCGAGCAGCAGAACTCGACGGGGAGCGAAGACGACCTCCTGGAAGAGCCGGAGATGGAGAGCTTGTACCCACAGCTGGATCCCCACTCGCTGGCCGTCACGGACCTGACCGCTGTCGAAGTGTCTCCGGTCTCCTCGTCCGGGGTCACGTATTCGGTGAGTGGGGGTGGCGGCTTGCTGCCGTTGGGTTGGCCAAGCAGCCGTTGCGGAGGAGTCCACAGGCGCCGCAGCCCTTTTGGGGAGGGGAGGCGCTTGAGGCCAGGACCTCCCGTACTGGGAATTTGTTGTGTGACCCACAAAGGCTGGATCCAGGGTGAGGGGTGTAGTGCCTGCGCCATCTCCTCCATCAAAATGGCTCCCCCTTGAGAAGCCGGAGGAGTAACGGCATCAGGTTCCGGGCAGGCAGGGGAAGAGGGGGGGCTCCAGACCCCTGTGTAGCAACCTGTTCCACTCCAGGACTTCCAAAACCAGAATGATGTTGTCTTGTTTAGGAAGCGTCTATGCCACCCCTGCAGAGTCCTGCTTCAGTTCCTTGCCTGGGGCTGAAAAGAGAGTAGCGTAGCTGGAGAGCATTCCAGAGGCAAGAAGCCACCACCAATAAAGCCCCGTCTTTGGTCGCTACCCATCCCCCTGCAGGTGGAGGCACAGAGAACAGGCCTTGGGAAGAGGGTCTTAACTGGCAAGGGGGAGGTGGGCCTTCAGGTGCCCGGCCCCCGAACTGTTGAGAGCTTTAAAGAGAAGAATGAGCCCTTTGAATTGGGCCCAGAAACAGATGGGTAGACAGCGCAGGAATGATACAGTCCCCATGTCCCAGCCGTAGCCTGCCTGCCACGTTTTGGAGCAGCTGAAGCTTCCGGTCAGTTTTCAAAGGCAAGGGAGTAAACGCTGTCTGTGCCGAGTGCTGTCCAGGGGCAAGTGGCCTCTGTTAGTCTCTTGCCTTGAAAAACCCTACGAGGCCGCCAGAAATCGGCTGCGGCTTGACTGCCCTTTGCATGCACCAAGTCCCATCAAGTCTCAGCTGACTGATGCCGAGCCCAGAGGGTTTTCCGGGAAAGCGATGAAGCAGAGGGGGCCGGCCATTTTCTTCTGCTGCAAAGTCTTCCTTGGTGGTCTCCCATCCAAGTACGGACCCTGCACTGCTTCCGAGATCTGGGGAGATGGCTATACTCTGCCATTCCACTCTGCCATTCCACATCCATAGAGCCAGTTTGGTGTCGTGGTTGAGTGTGCGGACTCTAATCTGGGAGAACTGGGTTTGATTCCACACTCCTCCACTCGCACCTGCTGGATGACCTTGGGCAAGCCGTAGTTCTGATAAGAGCTGTCCTTGAAAAAGAGCAGCTTCTGTCAGAGCTCTCTCAGCCCCGCCTTACCTCACAGGGCGTCTGTTGGGGGGAGGGGAAGGGAAAGGAGTTGGTGAGCCACTCTGAGACTCCTTTGGGTAGTGAAGAGTGGGGTATAAATCCAATCTCTTCTTCTTCTTATCTGTTAGTATGTATCGGACTGTTTAATTTGGTTTTATATTGAGAATGTATACTATCCTGTTGTAAGCCACCCTGAGCCCTACTTTAAGGAAGGGTGGCCTAGTAAACCAGTTTAATTAATAAATAAATAAATAATCAATCCCCGGAGGAAAAATAGCAGGTTGAAATTACTTTGGCTGCGATCATATGCACAATTAGAGCCACCATAGGCACGAATGCTGGGCGGACTGAAAGGGCACGATCAGACAACAGCATCTGGGAAGCGCCCCGCAGCCTTTCGCAACCCGTTCTGCTCCACCGCGGAAGTGGAGTTAAAAGAAACTGGGGGAAATCCCGTAGCAAACGGGTTGCGACGGGCCACAGATGGACTTTCCCCTGTCTGATCGCTCCAGCGCGCTCTCATGGCATTGGGATGGTCTGATCGGGCCATCCCAACTCCGTGCCGTTGGTTTTTCCCCCCTTCTCAGTATGGTTTTCCCCCCTTCTCGCAAACTCCATAGGGAACCAGTTTGGTGTCGTGGTTAAGTGCACGGACTCTAATCTGGGAGAACCGGGTTGGATTCCCCACTCCTCCTCCACTGGCACCTGTTGGATGACCTTGGGCAAGCCGTAGTTCTGATAAGAGCTGTCCTTGAAAAAGAGCAGCTTCTGTCAGAGCTCTCTCAGCCCCACTTGTAAGCCGCTCTGAGGCACCTTCGGGTAGTGAAGGGCCATGGGGTATAAATCCAATCTCTTCTTCTTCTTCTCAGTGCAGAGATGCGATTAACCAATTCCTCATTTAAGCGCATCAGAAACCAACCCAAAAACCCCTGGCTTGCCCACGGTTGCATCTGATCACGCAGTGGCGGGCTGTGCCCGCAGCTTCCAAGGGCTGTGTGATTGTGCAACTGCGGGTCAAATTCCTCCAGAGGAAATAGCCTCACTCCCCCCCCCCCATTTTTTCTGGCACATGTGACTGCAACCTTTGACAGGAGGAATCTATACAGGCCAGAGAACTCACCTTCTGTTCGTGGGGAATGTCCCTGGGCTCCGTGCAGAATGCCAAGAATTCTCCAGACGAGGCCCTTCCCCCTCCCCCAGACGGCTGCTTTCCTGGATGGGGGTGGGGTGGGGGGCAGTGGGACTTTCAGCCTGCCCTCTGCGGACGTGGCAGCTCCAGGCCAAAGCAGCCTTCCCTCCCCATTCCTGTGTCCTCAGCCGGAGCTCCTCGACCTGTACACCGTGAACCTGCACCGCATTGAGAAGGACGTCCAGAGATGCGACCGGAACTACTGGTACTTCACGCCAGCCAACCTGGAGAAACTGCGCAACATCATGTGCAGGTAGTGGAGGCCTGGGAATGGGGCAGGGGGGTTTGTGGTGGGCCATGGGAGGGGGGAGCTTGCCATGGCTCTGGGCTTGGATCTGTGTGGGCATCTAGGCACCAGTCGCACCCCACCAGGCATGGGACGGGGAGCCCGGGGTCACCCCTGTGTCCAAACGTGACATGGTTTGGCTGGCAAAATGTGGGTGTGCGAAGGGGCACCATCCGTGTAAGAGAACTCTGTGCACGGGTGTGTGTGCGCGCACGCGCCAGCAGGGTGTGTGTCTGCGGTTGGAGCCGAAGTCCTGCCCCCCCAGCCCGCTGTCCTGGTTCACCCCAGTTTCTCCCCACAGCTACATCTGGCACCATCTCGACATCGGCTACGTCCAGGGGATGTGCGACCTGCTGGCACCGCTGCTCGTCGTTCTAGATGACGGTGAGTGCGTCGCATTCGCCCCCTGGATCACCAGGCCCCTCCCCGAGACTGCAAACATCGGGCCCAACAAATCCGGTCTCAGGCACCACCGGCCAGGTCTCCTTTCCCAGCCTTCCCACTCCCTCCGGATTAGAGTCCCTCCGGTCGCTGCGGGTTCCCATGACTGTCCGGGACTGGTGTGAATAGCACCGTGGGTGAGAAAGTCAAGAGGGGTAGCGGTGCCCATCTCGGGTTGCCAGCTCTGGTTTGGGAAATACCTGGAGATTTGGGGGGTGGAGCTTGAGGGGGCGGGGTTTGGGGAGGGGCTTCAGTGGGCTACAAGGCCACAGAGTCCACTGTCCAAAGTAGCCGTTTTCTCTAGGGGGACTGATTCTCTGGGATATCTCCAGCCACCAATTTTTAACGTACACTGTCAGTTCGTCAAACTGATGACTTCTTGGTACTTGACACCTCAGAGGTTACACCGTATAAATAAAAATTATCCGGAACTTTGTAAGCCTGTAAGAGTCAACACAGAACGTTGTTATTTTTTTCTGTTCTAATCTTTGATTATTTTGTATTTTGATTATTACTTAATATATGTATGTAGGGGTAATTTTGTAGAATAAGAGGCACATTAGCATAACTTATTAGCATAACTTATTTGCATATGCCACACCCCCTGACATCACCGGAAGTGTGTCAGAAGGCAACACCCACTGCTCAATCTCCACTGAACTGTTTTGGACTGCTAGCTATTGGGGGGGGAGGGGACGTGCAGATCTGCCCTCACAGAGGAGGGAGAGCTTGTGGCGGGCCGGGGGGGGGGGCTCTGCAACTTACCTGGCTGCTTCTTGCCCCTCGTGGCCCGACTGAGGGCTGCTGGGAGCAGGGGGCGGGGCTTGTTGTATGTGCCCGCCCCCTGGGCTCCTTACTGCCGAAGTTCCGCTCCTGTGCGCTCCCACAGGAAACGACCACTGTGTATATGTGAATTTTTAAAAAAATTAAATTTTAAAAAAGGGGGAGATCCCAAGAGCAAACAGAGGCATCTGTTCCAGTGCCTGAGCCCATTTGCGGGGAGGGCGGAATAATAGAAAGATAGATAGATAGATAGATAGATAGATAGATAGATAGATAGATAGATAGATGATAGATAGATAGATAAAATAATCAATATCCTCTGGTGACAGCTGTCCTGTCAGGGTGTGGAGGCCAGAGAATGTGGGTCCCCAAGGGTCATTTCCTGCAGGAGCGCACAGGAGCGAAGCTCCGGCATTAAAGAGCCCAGGGGGCGGGCACATGCAACAAGCCCCACCCCCTGCTCCCAGCAGCCCTCAGTCAGAGCAAGAAGCAGCCAGCTAAGCTGCATAGCCCCCCCCCCCGGGCCCCCTGGTCCAAACAAGCCCGCGGGACCCCTTTTAAGACCAAGTTTTATTCAGGTACAAGCTCTCCCTCCTCTGCACGGACAGATCTGCACGTCTCCCCCCCCCCAATAACTAGCAATCCAAAAACAGTTCAGTGGACCCTGAGCGGTGGGTGTTGCCTTCTGACACACTTCCGGTGATGTCAGGGGGTGGGGCATATGCAAATAAGTTATGCTAATGGGCTCCTGCGCCTCTTTTTCTATGAAATGACCCCTGCGGGTCCCACTCCAGGCCCTCTCTGCTCTGCTGATGCTCTCCTCTCTCCTCCCCACCCAGAAGCCCTGGCCTTCGGCTGCTTCTCGGAGCTCATGAAGCGGATGAACCAGAACTTCCCCCATGGAGGGGCCATGGACACCCACTTTGCCAACATGAGGTCCCTCATCCAGGTAAGGCCCCGAGGGGTGGCCTTTTCACGGGGACGGACCCTGGGCTTTTGGGAGGCAGGAATTCGACAGTACGCAGGTGCTGCGGGGGTGATGGGGAGCTTGACAGACCCCTGTCTGCCCTGCAGCTCTTAAAAGCCCACCAGCCCGGGTAGAGAAGATGGGGACTCACTCCACCTGGAGAACTGCCTCCTGCTATCACAAGCACTTGTGCTGTTTAACCGGGTGACACTTTTTGAAAGTGGGGGACACATGGGAGGTTGGTGGGGGGGGGGAGATATATGCTTTCCTTGCAGAAACAGGATCCTGAAGGCTTTTTCGCCCATGCAGATCCTGGACTCGGAGCTGTTTGAGCTGATGCACCAAAATGGTGACTACACACATTTCTACTTCTGCTACCGCTGGTTCCTCCTGGATTTTAAGCGAGGTGTGTGTGGGCAGGGGGATCTTCGACACTCTAAATGTATGCCATTTTTAACCAGCTGAAGTGGAATTATTTGTCCCGAAAGAATCCTAAGAACAACAGAAGAGCCCTGCTGGGCCAGACCAGGAAGGGTCCCTCCAGTCCAGCCTCCCGTCTCACACAGGGGCCAGCCAGTCCCTCCGGAGGGCCAGCAACAGGGCAGAGAGGCCAAGGCCTTCCCCTGAGAAGAACCTCAGAAGAGCCCCGCTGGATCAGACCAGGGAGGGTCCCTCCAGTCCAGCATCCCGTCTCACCCAGTGGCCAACCAGTCCCTCTGGAGGGCCAACAACAGGCCACAGAGGCCGAGGCCTTCCCTAAATGTTGCCTCCCAGCACTGGGATTCAGAGATCTACTGCCTCTGAATGGGGAGTCCCCTCAGTCACCATGGCTAGTAGCTACTGATAGACCTCTCCTCCACGAATCTATCTAATCCCCTTTTAAAGCCATCTATGTATGTGGCCATGACCACATCCCCTGGGAGTGAATTCCACAATTTAGTTACATATTGAGTAAAGAAGTTTTTCCTTCAGGCTGTCTTGGATCAACTTGGATCTACCTTTTTCACTGCTGCGACATACTGAGTTCTCATTTCCTTTCAGCCACAGCCAGTTCAGACCCCATTGGATTGTATTTAAAATTGGAACTTTTGTTTCATTAACAGGGCTATTTTTGGGCAGGAACACACAGGAACGGAGTTCCGGCTGGCTCCCAAGTTGGCCACACCCAGCAGGAACTCATTAGCATAATAGGCCACACCCAGCAGGAACTCATTAGCATAATAGGCCACACCCAACAGCAGAAACGCATTGGGATTGGGTACATTAGGGGTGTGTGGCCTAACATGCAAACATAAGAACATAAGAACATAAGAGATGCCAATGTTGGATCAGGCCAAAGGCCCATCCAGTCCAACACTCTGTATCCCACAGTGGCCAGAAATACCAGTGCCATCAGGAGGTCCACCAGTGGGGCCAGGACATTAGAAGCCCTCCCACTGTTGACCCCCCCCAAGCACCAAGATGACAGAGCATCACTTGCCCCAGAGTCCCTATCTATACCTTGTGGCTAATAGCCACTGATGGACCTCTGCTCCATATGCTTATCTAATTCCCTTTTGAAGCCGTCCATGCTTGTAGCTGCCACCACTTCCTGTGGCAGTGAATTCCAAGTGTTAATCACTCTTTGGGTGAAGAAGTACTTCCTTTTATCCGTTCTAACCCGACCGCTCAGCAATTTCATGGAGTGCCCACGGGTTCTTGTATTGTGAGAAAGGGAGAAAAGTACCTCTTTCTCTACCTGCTCTTTCCCATGCATAATCTTATAAACCTCAATCATGTCACCCCTCAGTCGTCGTTTCTCCAAGCTAAAGAGCCCTAAGCGCCTTAACCGTTCCTCATAGGGAAAGTGTTCCAACCCTTTTATCATTCGAGTTGCTCTTTTCTGCACTTTTTCCAAAGCTATAATATCCTTTTTAAGGTGTGGTGACCAGAATTGCACACAGTATTCCAGATGAGGTCGCACCATTGATTTATATAGCGGCATTATGATATTGGCTGATCTGTTTACAATACCCTTCCTAATAATCCCCAGCATAGCATTGGCCTTCTTTATTGCAGTCACACACTGTCTCGACATTTTCAGTGAGTTATCTACTACAACTCCAAGATCTCTCTCTTGATCTGTCTCTGCCAGTTCAGACCCCATCAACGTGTATTTATAGTTAGGATTTTTGGCTCCAATGTGCATCACCTTGCACTTGGCCACATTGAACCCCATTTGCCATGTTGACGCCCACTCGCCCAACTTTGACAGATCCCTTTGGAGTGCCTCACAATCCTCACTGGTTTTCACCACCCTGAACAACTTCGTATCATCCGCAAATTTAGCCACTTCACTGCTTACTCCCAACTCCAAATCATTAATGAACAAGTTAAAAAGCAGTGGACCAAGTACTGATCCCTGTGGTACCCCACTGCTTACACCCCTCCACTGGGAGAACTGCCCATTTATACTCACTCTCTGTTTTCTATTAATTAGCCAGTTTTTGATCCATAAAAGGACTTGTCCTTTTATCCCATGATTTTTGAGCTTGCTTAGGAGCCTTTGATGAGGAACTTTATCAAAAGCTTTCTGGAAGTCAAGGTAAACAATATCTATTGGATCCCCCTTGTCCACATGTTTGTTCACCCCCTCAAAGAACATTAACAGGTTAGTGAGACAAGATCTTCCCTTACAGAACCCATGTTGAGTCTGCCTCAATAGGTTTTGTTCATCTATGTGCCTACTAATTCTTTCCTTAATAATGGTTTCCACCAATTTACCCGGTATCGACGTCAGACTGACAGGCCTGTAATTTCCCGGATCTCCTCTGGAACCCTTTTTAAAGATGGGAGTGACATTAGCTACCTTCCAGTCCTCAGGAATGGAGGCTGATTTTAAGGAGAGATTACATATTTTTGTCAGGAGATCCACAAGTTCACAATTGAGTTCTTTCAGAACTCTTGGATGTATGCCATCTGGGCCTGGTGATTTATCAGTTTTTAAGTTGTTTATCAGTTTTAGGACCTCCTCTCTCGTCACCTCAATCTGACTCAGGTCTTTCAACACCCCTCCCGAACTCAGCGGCTCTGGAGTGGGCAAGCACCTCTCATCTTCCACAGTGAAGACGGAGGCAAAAAATGCATTTAGCTTCTCAGCCATTTCCCTATCATCCTTCAGTACTCCTTTTACCCCTTGGTCATCCAAGGGCCCCACTGCCTCCCTGGCTGGTTTCCTGTTTCTAATGTATTTGAAGAAAGTTTTATTGTTGGTCTTTACATTTTTTGCTATATGCTCCTCATATTCCCTTTTTGCATGCCTGACCACAGACTTGCATTTTATTTGCCATAGCCTGTGTTCTGTTTTATCAGCCTCACTGTGACTAGCTTTCCACCGCTTAAAGGAATCCTTTTTACCTTTTACAGCTTCCATTACTTTGTTTGTTAACCATGTAGGCTTTTTCTTATACCTGTTTGTGCCTTTCCTAACCTGCGGAATATATTTTATTTGAGCTTCTAGAATTGTAGTTTTAAACAGTTTCCAAGCTTCCCCAATGGTTTTGACCCTTTCTACTTTTCCCTTCAGTTTCCTCCCCACATGTCCCCTCATATCAGAAAAATTACCCCTTTTAAAGTTAAAAGTGGTTGTGTGAGTCTTTTTGGCCAATTCCCTATTTGTACAAATGTTGAACTCAACAACATTATGATCACTGTTCCCAAGCGGTGCAATCACTTTTACATCTCTCACCAGGTCTTGAGTGTTACTTAGGACCAAATCAAGGATCGCCTCTCCCCTGGTAGGTTCCATGACCATCTGCTCCATAGCACAGTCATTTAGAGTGTCTAGAAACTCAATCTCTTTCTCTCGACTAGAACACATATTGACCCAATCAATGTGTGGGTAGTTAAAATCACCTATTACGACACAGTGTTTTTGTCTAGCTGCTATCTTTAATTCATTCATCATTTTATAATCCTCCTCTATCTTTTGATCCGGTGGGCGATAACAAACTCCCAGTGTTAAGTTTCCTTTTGGCCCCCCTATTTCAACCCACAGAACTTCAAGAAGCGAATCCAATTCTCTTAGCCTCTCGATCTTTCTGGACTTTATACCCTCTCTGACATACAGAGCCACCCCACCTCCAACCCTTCCCCCCCTATCCTTCCGATATAATATATAACCGGGAATCACCGTATCCCACTGATTTTCCTCATCCCACCAAGTTTCTGAAATACCCACAATGTCTATTTTTCCCTCTGACACCAAGCACTCCAACTCCCCGATTTTACCTCGGACACTTCGAGCATTTGTATAGAAACAGCTGTAATTTCCCATACTGGTTAAGCCTGCCACCTTCCTCTTGCAATCTCGAGACCTTGTCAGGCAGTCCATGTCACTAGCCATGGTCTCAGTGGACAATTTCAATCCACCTCCCTGTAGAAAAGCAACAGGTACCCCCTCATCTCTCTGAGATGAGCCAACCCGAACCAGAGACTTTTCATCTCCTGTCGGCTTTCCCCCAATATTCAGTTTAAAAGCTGCTCTGCCACCTTTTTGATTTTAAGCGCCAGCAGCCTGGTTCCTTCTCGGGACAAGTGGAGACCGTCTCGCCTGTACAGCTCCCTCTTGTTCCAAAAAGAATCCCAGTGCCTAACAAACCTGAACCCTTCCCCTCTACACCATCGTCTCATCCACGCATTGAGACTCCTGATCTGTGCCTGTCTCTCCGGCCCTGCGCGTGGAACAGGTAGCACTTCTGAGAAGGCTACCTTGGAGGTCCTGGCCTTGAGTTTCCTGCCCAGCAGCCTAAATTTCTCCTCCAGGACCTCACGACTGCATTTCCCCACATCGTTGGTGCCGACATGCACCACGACCACTGGCTCCTCCCCAGCACTATCTACCAGCCTATCTAAAACACGCGTAATGTCCGCTACCTTTGCACCAGGCAGGCAAGTCACCATACGGTCAGTACGCGGGTTCGCCACCCAGCTGTCTACCTGCCTAAGGATCGAATCACCCACTACCAAGAGCCCCCCTCCCACCCTGCCCAGGGATGGTTCCTTGGTGCAAAAGGATAACCGCTCACCAGCTGGGGAAGAGGTCCCTTCTGAGGGCACATTCCCCTTATCCTCAGCACGGTGCCCTGTTTCCCCTAGACCCTCATGCTCCCTGACAGCAGCGGGGCTGCCAGATCCAGAGTGGGACGTAGCTAACAAGTCCCCGAGAGTCTTTTCTGTGCGCCTAGCTGACTGTCTCTGCTTCTCCAGGTCAGCCACCTTGGCCTCAAGGGAGCACACACGTTCCCTGAGAACCAGGAGCTCCTTGCACCGAGCACACACCCAAGACTTCTGCCCAGTGGGCAGATAGTCATACATGTGACACTCTGTGCAAAACACTGGATAGCCCCCAACCCCCTGTTGGCATTCTGGCTTCATAATTCTTTTAAAATAAGTAAATGTAATCCCCCTTTTAAATCCCTTTGTATTTATGTGTTTTTTTCTTGTCAAAGTCAAATTACTTTATGGGGAAAACAAGGAGCCTAGGGTTTTCACTTTCTGCCTCTTCTTGGGCGTCTCACAGAGCCCCTAGTCCAAGAGTCCCTGGGCTAAGAGCCACGGGCAAAGAGCCCTTTAGCTCGCCCTTCGGCTCGTGCCAGAGGCTCGTGCCTCTGTCAAGGAGCTTTCTTAAATACTCACCCTTCTGTCTCCTGCTCCTGTTCCTGCTCAGAGCTCAGCTGGGTCTCCACATGCAAAGGAGTTCCTGCTACAAAAAAAGCCCTGGGTTTTGACCACAAACAAGGTCAACAGAACAAGAAGCAAAAGGTGGGCGTGGCTGGATTACCACACTTCTGGTAACATGGGTGTGTGGCCTAATATGCTAATGAGCTGTAATGTCAGGACTGTGGCCTAATATGCTAATGAGTTTCTGCTGTTGGGTGTGGCCTATTATGCTAATGAGTTCCTGCTGGGCTTTTTCTACAAAAAAAGCTCTGATTATACATCATAGAATCATAGAATGTTAGAGTTGGAAGGGACCTTGCAGGTTATCTAGTCCGACCCCCTGCACTGCAGGAGCATTCACCTTACACTTTTCTGCAACAAACTTCATTTGCCATATTGTTACCCACTTATCCAACTGAGCTAGAGCCTCCCAAAGGACTCCACAATCTGCCTTGGTTTTCACCATCCTGAATAATTCTGCATCCTCTGCAAGCTTGGCCACTGAACTGCAGCCCCCCCCCCCCCCCCCGCAAATCACATTTGGGCAAATTAAATAGCATTGTCCTTATCAACATGCTTGTTTACCTGCTCCAAGAACTCCATGAGATTGATGAGGTCCAGGGCTTCCATGATGGGAAGAAGGAGCCGTTTGCTCTGAGGGTTTCAGAGCTTCAGCAGGGATGGGCTGCTTTTGGCCACTCTTTAGCTGTTTCTTCTCCACAGAACTTGTTTATGACGACGTCTTCTCTGTCTGGGAGACCATCTGGGCTGCAGCACACATCTCCTCTTCGCACTATGTCCTCTTCATCGCGCTTGCCTTGGTGGAAGTCTACCGGGACATCATCCTTGAGAACAACATGGATTTTACGGACATCATCAAGTTCTTCAACGGTACGGAGCTTAGTCGGCTAGGCTGGACCTGAGATGTTTGGCTGCTGCCTAGAGGATGTATTGCACAGTCTAGGAGTTGTGCCCCGAGATCTCTTGTGGCATTTCCGCCCTGCCCTCCTAGGGGTTCCCAACTCCCTGGAGGGGCTTTTCTTTCTCTAGGGTAACACACCACCACCACCTGCCCTTTCTGAGGAACTGCCTGCTGGGAGGGACAGGACTCCCAGCTCCCCTTCTCAGTCCTGAGGCCTTGCCTCCGTGTCTCCCACGGCCCAACCTTTGGCTACCATGGGGACGGTTTAATGCCCTTAGAGGAATAGCTGCTTGCCAACCCCCTTGCAGCCCCTTTTAAATTGTGTGTCTGAAATGGTGGAGGTCTATGTGGTGCAGAGAACCACTCCCAGCATCAACAGTTTAAAGCATTTATTGAAAAGAAAATGTTTACAAGTGTACTTTGAGCACAGCACCAGATCTGAGCAAGGAAAACAAAAGAATATGTTGTCGAAGGCTTTCACGGCCGGAGTTCATTAGTTGTCGTAGATTTTTCCAGGCTGTCTGGCCGTGGTCCTGGCATTTTTCGCCAGCAACTGTGACTGGCATCCTCAGAGGGATGCAGAAAGATGGAGTACTCTCTGTGTCAAGGTGAGGAGAAAATGGTAGGCAGGTAATTTATATCTACTCAGGAAGGTGGGGTAGGGCTGATTCATTCTCTTGTAGGAGTTCCCTAGGCTGCGACATGCTAATGGAGCAGCTTTCCTGAGGAAGTTCTTTTGCATATGGATTGTTTCCTGAGGAGGTTTCCTGTTTCCTGAGGAGATAATGACCCTCCCTGGCTTTGATTCAGGCAGTCGCCAATGTGGATTTTGCCTCAGCCACAAGCTCATCAGGCAGGCCTTTCTCCCTCTCCCCCCCCCCAGTCCCACCATCTGTGAAATGGGCACAATTGGACTGGACTGTCTTTTGAGACTGTTGAGTGGGCCACTAAGACTGCCGTATAAACTCCAAATATTATTTTTGTTGGCTGGTGTTACCTGTACAAACGCTGTGCAGTTATTTAGGAATGAGCTTCGTATGCACTGACAATGGTATTCAATCATAATATTGCTCCAAAAATTAATTTCGACAAGGTCGAAACGAGTGTTGCTTGCAGTGTTCTCTCTAAGCTGCGTCAGTGTGAGCTAGCTCACAGTTTTTTAGCCTCCGGCTCTTAGCTCAGGAAGGATGGGGCTCCAGAGCAAACTAATTGATGCAGTAGCCAGTGTTCCCTCTAAGCTGAGTTAGTGTGAGCTAGCTCGCAGACTTTTAGCCTCTGGCTCACACATTTTTGTCTTTGCTCAGGAAGGAGGGCTCCAGAGCAGACTAATTGATGCAGCAGCCAGTGTTCCCTCTAAGCTGAGTCGGTGTGAGCTAGCTCACAGTTCTTTAGCCTCCGGCTCACACATTTTTGTCTTTGCTCAGGAAGGCTTTGCTCAGGAAGGCTGACTCCAGAGCAACCTAACTGATGCAGTAGCCAGTGTTCCCTCTCAGCTGAGTTAGTGTGACCTAGCTCACAGTTCTTTAGCCTCCGGCTCACACATTTTTGTCTTAGCTCAGGAAGGATGGGGCTCCAGAGCAAACTGAATGAGGCAGGAGACAAATCACTCGCTCACAACTTTAAGGCCAGGAGCTCACGAAGTAGGATTTTTGCTCACAAGACTCCACAGCTTAGAGGGAGCATTGGCATGCTGCTGCTGCACTTGTCTTGCAGACCTGCCATCTGGAGCCCCTCCTCCGGCTCTGGGCATATGTCTGCCTGAGTCTGGGCAGCTCCCTTCCTCGGTGACGGGCTGGGCGGTTGGGCTGTTTTCTGAGCCCCCTGCTGGCCTCTGGGACCCCGGCGTCTCTGTGAATGTGTTCTGACCTAGAAGTCATCCTTTTCCCCTCTCCCTTGCTCTCCCTCGGTTGCAGAATGCAGTACTTGAGTGGAGGGAGGGGGAAAGGTAGGGACTGCGCCTGGCTTCATTGGAACCTCTCCTCTTCCTCCATTGGGTTTTGCTCAATTCCTCCTCTTCCTCCCCTCCTGCAGAAATGGCCGAGCGTCACAACACCAAGCAGATCCTGAAGCTGGCACGAGACCTGGTGTACAAAGTCCAGACTCTGATTGAGAACAAGTGACCCAGCGGACCGCGCGTGCCCCGGCGGGCGGAGGAGGGAGACCCCTGCCTGTCACCCTTGGAGGCAAGAAGCCGCCACAGCGGAGGGTGTGTCAGACAGAGCGACCCCCCCCTTACACAAAACTTTTGTTTGCCTTCTGCGAGCCCTGGAGGAGATGGTCGCGGGGCCACGTACTGGTGCTCGTGGCTTGTGTGTCTGGCCACGTCCCACTGGCCCTGCATCCGTGGTTGGGATTGACCAAAGAACTCGCACCCTCCTGTCTTTTCCAAGTGTTCCCTCTAAGCTGAGTCGAGGTGGAGCCTGACGTGGAAGAGAAGCCCTGCGGTGTGGAGGCCTGGTTGGAGGGGACTCTGCCGCTTCCCGTTTGCGGAATCAGTGACTAGATGGACAGAGCGTCTCCCTGGTTCCCAGACCCTCCCTGTGACCTCCAGACGCCCCTTTGAACCCCAGAGGCACAGAGTTCCTGCCTCCCGGGAGACCTCGGCCCTGGCGTCCCCGGAGTGCAGAGGGCCAAACTGTGGGCTCTGGAGGGAGCGGCCCAGCCCTGCCAAGGCACCCTCCGTCTGGGAAGCCTCCCAGTTTGGCACAGGGGCCTGACTCCCACCTGATTCCACCCCTCTTCCCCACCACCACCCCTCCTTTTGGGAGCTCAGGCCCAGAGTCGGGGGCTGGCTACCCTGGCCGGAAGAGCTAGAAGAGGCCACCTGGAGGGGGGGGGTGCGTGGGCCCTGCTGGCTTCTCCAGAATTCCTTGGCACACACCCTCCCCCAGCCTCCCAGCTCGGGAGCTTCCGGCCTGGACACAGCCCCCGGGGCTTTCAGAAAGGCCAGCTGGGCTCCTTCCAGGGGCTTCTTCTTCTTCTTCTTCTTCTTCTCAAGCCAGGAACATGCGCGCATCCCCATCTGGGCCCCCAAGGCTGCCGGCTGGGTCAAGCCAGGCCCCCAGAGCCAGTGCTGCAGGACCGGGCTTGGACTCAGCCCAGGTGGTGGTTCTGGTCCCGCCCCCCGAGGCACTGAGGGTTGGGGGCAAGGAGGAGCCTCTCTAGGGCTTCTGCACCCATCGCGT